GTGTGGATTACAGACAGTTGAACAAGGTGACTATCAAGAACAAGTATCCACTTCCGAGGATTGATGATCTGATGGATCAGTTGGTTGGTGCAAGTGTGTTCAGCAAGATTGATTTGAGATCTGGGTATCATCAGATTCGCGTGAAAGCTGAGGATATTCAGAAGACGGCCTTTAGGACGAGGTATGGACACTATGAGTATTCTGTGATGCCATTTGGTGTGACTAATGCACCAGGTGTATTTATGGAGTACATGAATAGGATTTTCCATCCTTATTTGGATAAGTTTGTGGTTGTGTTTATCGATGACATCTTGGTTTATTCGAAGAGCGAAGAAGAGCATGCCGAGCATCTGAAGATTGTGTTATCCGTGTTGAGAGAGAAGCAGTTGTTTGCAAAGCTTTCTAAGTGTGAGTTTTGGTTGAAGGAAGTTAGTTTCCTTGGTCATGTGATTTCGAGTAATGGTATTGCGGTTGATCCGTCGAAGGTTGAAGCGGTATCGCAATGGGACACTCCGAAGTCAATTTTTGAGATTAGAAGTTTCCTTGGTTTAGCCGGTTATTATCGGAAGTTTATTGAAGGATTCGCTAAGTTATCGTTGTCGTTGACGCAGTTGACTAGGAAGGGTCAAGCTTTTGTTTGGGATGCCAAGTGTGAAGTGAGTTTCCAAGAACTCAAGCGAAGGTTGACGACAGCCCTTGTTTTGATTTTGCCAAATCCGGAAGAACCGTTCGTTGTGTATTGTGATGCTTCTTTGATGGGTTTAGGAGGTGTGTTGATGCAGAATTACCAAGTTGTGGCTTATGCTTCGAGGCAACTCAAAGTGCATGAGAAGAATTATCCGACGCATGACTTAGAGTTGGTCGCCGTTGTGTTCGTGCTGAAACTTTGGAGGCATTATTTGTTTGGTGCGAGGTTTGAAGTGTTTAGTGACCACAAGAGTTTGAAGTATCTCTTTAATCAAAAGGAATTGAATGCAAGGCAAAGAAGGTGGTTAGAGCTATTGAAGGATTATGATTTTGGTTTGAATTACCATCCGGGTAAAGCGAATGTAGTAGCGGATGCATTGAGTCGGAAATCATTGCATATGTCGGCGTTGATGGTGAAAGAGTTGGAATTGGTCGAGCAATTTCGGGATTTGAGTTTAGTATGTGAGAGAACTTCTTTTGGATTTAAGTTGGGTATGTTAAAGCTTACAAGTGGTATTTTGGATGGAATTCGAGAAGGACAGAAATCGGATTTGAGTTTAGTTGATCGGTTGACTTTAATCAACCAAGGCCAAGGTGGTGATTTTCGGATTGATGAGAATGGGATTATGAGATGTCGGGATCGAGTTTGTGTTACGAATGTTGTTGAGCTTAAAAAGAGTATCCTTGAGGAAGGACATCGTAGCGGATTGAGTATTCATCCAGGTGCTACTAAGATGTATCAGGATTTGAGGAAAGTGTTTTGGTGGCCTAGTATGAAGAAGGATATTGCGGAATTTGTGTATTCTTGTTTGACTTGCCAGAAGTCAAAGATTGAGCATCAGAAGCCATCAGGTTTGATGAAGCCGTTGTTTATTCCTGAGTGGAAATGGGATAGTATCTCCATGGATTTTGTATCGGGTTTGCCGAGGACGCCGAGTAGTTTTGAGGCTATTTGGGTTATCGTGGATAGATTGACTAAATCTGCTCACTTTATCCCTATGCGTGTGGATTACCCGTTGGAGAAGTTGGCTAAATTGTATATTGAGAGGATTGTGTGTTTGCATGGTATTCCGTCGAGTATTGTTTCGGATAGAGATCCGAGGTTCACTTCGAGATTTTGGGAGAGCTTGCAGAGTGCTTTGGGTACTAAGTTGCGTTTGAGTTCAGCGTATCATCCTCAGACAGATGGTCAGACGGAGAGGACGATTCAGTCGCTTGAAGATCTTTTGAGAGCTTGTGTATTGGAGAAAGGAGGACCTTGGGATAGCTACTTGCCTTTGATTGAGTTTACCTACAACAACAGTTTTCATTCGAGTATCGGTATGGCACCATTTGAGGCGTTGTATGGTAGGCGGTGTAGGACACCATTGTGTTGGTTTGAGTCCGGAGAGAGTTTTGTTGTTGGACCCGAGATAGTTCAGCAGACTACGGACAAGATTAAAATGATTCGAGAAAAGATGAGGATTTCTCAGAGTCGTCAGAAGAGTTATTATGACAAGAGGAGGAAGGCACTTGAATTTCAAGAGGGAGATCATGTGTTTCTTCGAGTCACTCCGATGACAGGTGTTGGTAGGGCATTGAAGTCGCGCAAGTTGTCGCCGCGTTTCATTGGTCCTTATCAGATTTTGCAGAAGATAGGAGAAGTGGCCTATCGTGTGGCTTTACCACCTTCGCTTGCTAATCTTCATGACGTATTCCATGTATCTCAGTTGAGGAAATACATTGCGGATCCGTCTCATGTAGTCCAATTAGATGATGTGCAGGTGAGAGATAACCTGACTGTTGAGACATCACCTATGCAGATAAAGGATCGGAAATTGAAGCAGCTTCGAGGTAAAGAGATTGCTTTAGTGAAGGTCGCTTGGGGAGGACCGGCTGGTGGGAATGTTACTTGGGAGCTTGAGAGCCAGATGAAAGAGTCTTATCCAGAACTGTTTGAACCAGGTAACATTTTCGAGGACGAAAATTCCTAAAGTGGGGGAGGGTTGTAACAGCCCAAATTTCATTAAATAATTAATTATAGTAATTAATTGATTTAGTGGGATTTTTATTAATGTTGGAAATTAATTTTTATTAATTGGAATTAATAGAGAATTGAGAAGGAAATTGGAAGGAATGAAAATAAAAGAAATATATATAATAGAGAAGGAAAAGAAAAGAAAGTTGGAGAGAAACATTTGGAAAGAAAGAAGAAGAGAAAGAGGGAAGAAGAAGAGAAAGAGAGGAGAAGAAGAGGAAAGTGAAAAATCATCAAGAACCAACATCAAAGCTCCGATTAATCGAGGTAAGGGTGAGAAATGTTTCTATTTGATCATTGCATGATGTTATATATGTTGGGTTGGGGTTTTGGTGTAGTTTCCATCCTTTTTCATTTAGGGCAAAAGTTGGAATAATCGGTAGAAATGTGATTTAATCGGTTGGAACTGAGTAATAATGCCGTAGAATAGTCGGGTAACATGTATTGATGTTGTTTTGAGCTGGTTTTGATGTTTGGGAGTTGGTTGGTGGTGGTTTGAGAAGGAGAAGACAGAACAAAATTCTGTTATGTGCAGGTTCGCCGGCCCTCGCCAGGCGAAGCCTAGCGCACGCTGGCGAATAATTATGATTAAGTCCCAGTGGACTTCGCTGGCGAGTTCGCCAGGCGAAGGTTGGTTAGCAAATGTTCGCCCAGCGAAAGTGCTGGCGAATGGTGGCGAACAAAGTCAGTAGCTATTGACTTTGGCTCGCTGGGGAGTCTCGCCAGGCGAAGGCCTAGCGAGTGTTCGCTGAGAGGGTTCACCAGGTGAAGGTCCAGTGAAGGTTCGCTGCGGGGCCTCGCCAGGCGAATATGGGCGAATTTGACAGCATCTTTTCTTTGTTGTGGTTTCTATGTGTTGACGATTTAGTTGTTTCACATAGACTAATACCTCTACATTTTGAGTATGTATGTGATCTATTATGATGATATATGTTGTGGGTAGCCTACGGGCGTGAATCCTAGAATTGTGATTTGAATGTTAATTGCATCAAGTATAAATACATGTGAACATAATAGGTGATTATGTGTGTATTATTTAATGAACTTGTGAATGCTTGATGTGTATACAATTATGTGATGAGTATGCATGAGAACATTGTGAACATGTGTGCATAACTTGTAATTGTATTATTGGTATTGTGATGTGCATACCTTGATTGTTGTGATATATGCTGTATGTGCAATCATTGTGTAATTCTTGAAGAGATGAATTATTAAATGCATGAGATTAAGACGCGAGAACGGTCTTAAGTGCATTGTTGTGGTTGATTGCATATGCATCATTTAGTCAAGAGGCAATGTCTGTTAGTTTCGTGGAAATTAGTGGCTTGGCCCAAACCTAGAAGAGTGGGTTTGAAGGCTTAGAGGACGGGCCTTTGTTGTTATCGGTCTAGAAGAGTGGACCCGGTTTAATGTAAAAACCGAAAAATGATAACGGGTTATCGGTCTAGAAGAGTGGACCCAGTTTAATGTAAAACCCGAAAAATGATAACGAGAGTCGGTACCGCATTGCATGAGTTGCATTGAGTTGTTGAGTCACATTGATATATGACATATGCATGAAGAGATGCTTATGTGTGAATGATAAGATTGTGGAAATGTGAGTGTATGCATGATGTGGGAATGCTTTGTGAATATTCATGTTGTCTATATATGTGTGGTAAATATATATGACTAAGAGGGTGAATTGTGGTGAGAAATATGGAGTTGAATTATATGATTACCTATATATATAATCTTATGCTTTGATTATTATGGTTATATTTCTCACCCTTCTGCTGTTTTATAATGCTCTACGAGGCATTGCAGATTAGGATGCTGGAGTCTTTCTTTTGTGAAGTATAGCTTCATTCTTTTGAGTCGGACTGCTCTGATTATGTAACACCGGGTAGTTAGGCTGGTATAGTATTCTTTGTGATACATTGTGATGTATCAGCTGATGTGGCTTTGTAATTACCTGACATGATGTATTAATCTGGATATCTTATGTGTATGTGAATTAATATTTTGGAAATGATTAAATGATTTTATCTTCCGCTTAAATTTTAATGTTGAAATGTGATTTCTAAAACCATGAAAATGTTACATATTTTATGGAGCAAGTGTTAAAGTGTTTCATTGGTGAAATTGTGACATTCTTCCTTTATACCTTATTCTAAAATTTTCACTCTGATAAATTTGTATATGCATTTATTTGGGGGTATAGAAGGGGGTGTTACAACATCAGCAGGTGTCAGCTCGTCCAGAATAGGTCGCAACTCATCCACCTCTAAGGCACCTTGCCTATATGATCATCTCATCGCTCGAGGGAGACCCACATTATTAGCTGGTATCCGATTCTCTCCTTTTTTCCAAGTGTTGGAAAATACTCATGAATCCAGAACTGTTACAAAATTAATATGGTTATTAAATTTAAAATAATTAATTATAACATAATAAACTAGATAAATAAAATTAATATACTAGATAAAATTTATCAAAACAAAATATACTAAATTAAAATAAATACCTGTAGGAGAGTCGGATAACCACCAAGCTGCTTACAGCTGAACATGGAAGCATCTCCGAGATATCTGTAAAGAGTAACCAACGCAGCTACTCCCCAACTGTATCCTGATAAGCCATCCAAGTCTATAAACGGTGAGAGGTATCGTGCCTCGACAAGTGTAAACGTCTTGTCCGCGAAAATAGTGGAATCGACTAACATCAGCAAATAAGCTCTAGTGGCATAATGTCATCTAGATGCAGCTCTATGCTCTACGAACTGATCATATAACCACTCCAGCTTATAGTAGGAACCCCTGCAGTCACGGACTTGTTGTTGTGCTACTCTCTGTGACACTCCTAAATAATCAACAACTCACTCAACAACAAGCGCTTCACTGATATCTTGAGGGCTCCAGAAGACTCCCCTGATGGGCAAGTGAAGCAGGCAAGATACGTCATCTAGAGTAATCGTCATCTCACCAAACGGCATGTGAAATGAAGTTGTCTCTAGATGCCATCTCTCTGCAAATGCGGAAACTAGGTTTGTGTCTATCTTTGTTAAACTGGTCTCTGGAGTGAAGCTAGACCAGACCTAGATATTCAGCTCTCCATCTCTCTAGGTAGTTGTAGTGGAACCCTCTGAGTCAACTTCAATCCATGTCCCACTACCTTTAACTTTTCTTCGACCCTCTCTCCTGAAAACAATTAAAAATAAATATATTATAAAATTCAATATTAAAAATTCGAATTCTATTCAATATTAAATCATTTTCGTCTACTTACCTCACCGAACCATATACGGTTTGCAACATGTTGTTCGTACTTAACTAACAGAGATGTATCATAGGTCCTCCTGGATATCCAACGGGCTAGGATGCTGATGCAGATGCATCAAAATGCTCTTCTTCAGCCATTCTCGATGACTTGCCTCGTCCTAGTCCACGAGGGATCCTACCATCTCTGCCTCGTGTGCGCACCACTGAAAAAAAATTAAAAATTAAAATATATAAATAAATAAAATTAAAAATTAAAAATTAAAAAAAAAAACAATGAACCGTAAGTCTTGAGCAAAGAGTTCTGGAGAAGAAACATAAAATGTGTGTACCGGAAGACTTAAGTCAAGACATCCGGTTAACAAAATTAAAATTTCATGAACCGAAAGACATACATTAAGTCTTCCGGTGTAAAAACCCAAACAAATTACAAACCGAAAGACATGCGTTAAGTCTTCAGGTGAAGAAACCAAAACAAAGTACAAACCGAAATACTTACTCTTGGAGTTCTGGTATGTATTGGAAAACAAATGCATTCCGGAAGACTTGGTGGAAGAGTTCTGGTTTGTAAATGCAAATAGAAAGCTCCGGAAGACTTGAAATGGAAATGAAGTGAAAGTGAAAAAATTTACAAAATTATAGACATTTAAACAAGGGTATTTTGGTTCAATTTTATTTAGTGTAGGGGTGTGGGTATAAGTGCAGGGGTATGGGGTAAAATTTCCTTGAGAAAGATATGATGTCTTTGGATATAATTGAATATAATGAAGACATCATTAGGGATACAGAACAAACCCGTATCTAATTAATCATCAATAGTGGAAACTCAACTCACACTTGATTAATGTTAAGTCTTAAGTTCAATGATGAAAGTACACTATTAGAGTGATTGAAGTACTTAATGATAGATACATCCTAAGGGGTAAAAGTACTTGGACCATAAGAATAAGTGTGGTACGATGAGGTTTTCCTCTTAATAGACATATATCATATATTTGATGGAATGCATAATTATGGGTGCATTTCTGATATAGTCTACTTATATGAGAATGAAATGGTGCCGCTTCATAGAGTTCAAGGGCCTGACCCTTAAATTTTCATGAAAAGGATATGAGACATATGACCTTATTAAATGTGTCATATTAATAATTCAATTAATGGTACCGAAATTTCATGTGTGAGTTATGCACGCTTGTTCTAATGAATAATTGATTCAAAGTTTGTCTACCAATCTATTCGGGGATGAGTAAAAACCTAACTTACTAAGTATTGGTTCAAAATGTAAGATACCTTTATCTAAAACCATGAAATTTCATGAATAATGAATTTAGATATATTTTGAAAATGGTAGGGGATTGTTGGAGAAATTTCCAAAATATTAAATTGATAAATAATAATGGTTAAATTAACAAAATAAATGGCCAAAAGTTTCAACTGTCTAGAATAGAACCAGAGACCCTATAATGATTGAGTGCGCGGTCAAAAGGTGCAACCACCAGATTAACACAACTTTTCATGAAAAAGTTTGTTGCTATTGATATACAATGGCTCGCGAATGGTCATGTTAGAATCAAATGAAACATTGTTTCTCCACACCAATTGGTACATGTTTTCTTATAAATAGAGATACTTGTCAGCCATAAAAGATATATGAAAATAATATATTTTAGAGGAAAAATTTATATCTAAGTGATTTCTTTATTTTTCTTGTGCACGAGAATAAGTGAAGGAAATTTATTCTGTAAAATATCATGGATCGATATGCTTAATGTGAATGTGCAATTCATGTTAAAATTTCAAAAGTATCCTGAAGGGGATTCGTCGAATTACCCATTTGCATTCATTTTGGCTAAATTGGTAGAGGCGAATCGAACCTAAAGCTTAGTGTAAACACACATTTTGAGATTAATTTTGTGCAACTTTCATCATAACATTTTCATTTTCTTATTCAAGTTTTGCGGCGACCCCTAACACAAGATGTAACTTTCATTTTCATTTTCAAATCGTAGGATACCTTTATCTGAAACCATGGAATTTTCTTAATAATAAATTTAGATATATTTTGAAAATGGTGGGGGATTGTTGGAGAAATTTCTAAAATATTAAATTGATAAATAATAATGGTTAAATTACCAAAATAAATGGCCAAAAGTTGTAGCTCTCTAGAATTGAACCAAAGACCTTATTATGATAAGGCATGTGGTCATAAGGTGCAACCACCAGATCAACACAACTTTTCATGAAATAGTTTTCTATTATTGATATATAATGGTTTGCGAATGGTTATGTTTAAACCATTAAAACATTGTTTCTCCTCACCAATTGGTACAAGTTTTTCTATAAATAGAGATACTTGTTAGGCATAAAAAAGAGACACAAAAAACTACCTGTTTCAAGTGCCAAAAATTATATCTAATCATTTTTTTATTTTTCTCATGCACGAGAATAAATGAGAAAACTGTATTCAGTAAAATATAACTAATCGATATGCTTAATGTGAATATGCGATTCATGTTAAGGTTTTCAAAGTATCCTGAAGGAGATTCTCCGGTTAACCCTTTTGCATCTAATTTGTATAAATTTGTGGGGGGAAATCGAAGCTAAAGCTTAGTATAAACACACGCTTTGGAATTATTTTGTGCAACTTTCGTCGTACCGTCTTCAACACCTTCTTCTTGTTCGTGTTTTACAGTAGACCCCCAACACAAGATATAACATTTTTAGACTAATCCTGAGCTCCAATCACTCTTTGATACCACCAAGTTTAAAATGAAAAGGAGAACCTATAGCCACTCAAGTCAGAATAAGTGAGATGATTGTGTAATCCTTCAACTTCTGAACGACCTCTTTGCATTATGGTGACTACGTGACAAGTATGTCCTAGAAGTTCTTGCGATTCATTTATATCCCCCCTCATTGCTAACATAAAACCCGTAAATATTGTTGGATGAACCATAAATGTACACTTTTATAGATTTAGCTTTATGCTAAAACTCCTTAGGAATTTTTAAAATACAATATAAACCAACTATGTGGTCTTCCTCCATGGTTGATTTGATGATCATGCCATGGTAAAGAAAAACACTTTTACAAAGTCAAAGCTTGGAGGGAGAATATTTTGTTTATTGAATAAAGGAAATGGCTTTTAAATAACCTTTACACAAAATAAAATAGAGAAAAAATAGTCCACTAAACAAACCCTAAGAATGTGAACATAATGGCTAGATAACAAGTTAAAGAAACCACTTAACTCTAACAACAACACTACTGATTTCATTCTAATTAATAAATTAGTTTAAAATAAAAACAAATTTAACATCCTCCCTTAAACATAATGCTACTACTAGCAAATAATTTAATTTGGCGGTGAACACACTCTTAGTAGGGTGTGCAAGTTTTAAAGAATTTGTCATCACATCACTTGTTCATGAGTATTGCAGTAAACTAGTTCTACAGTTTCATCATTTGAGAGTTCACGAAAGAAATGTAAGTGAACATCAATGTGTTTGCTACGACCATGCATCACGTGACTTTTAGCAAGTTTAATAACATTCATATCAATAGAGAACTCAATGACGTCAATCATATCATTTTAGTAGATATCATATCAATTAATAAGATCCATATCAATAGAGAACGCTATGACATCAAACGTAGCAATTTAACACATATCATATATTTTCAGCAATTAACATAGCACAAAATTAGGATTAACATCAACCCTAAGGGGTTTTATACAAACTCATTTAAGGTTCAATTCATTCATCAATAGGAGAAACATAAAAGAGAGAAAGGGAAAGAGGATAAGGACTCCCCACTACTCCTCATGATTAACACATATATTGAGTAAGTCTCTCCTCTTACCCCGAATTTGCATAAAAGTTTTGAACTTTGACTATGGAGATTCTCTTCTTCATTTGGTCTCTTAGGGTTGCCTCCACTCTCCTCTTACTCGTTATTTTCCAAAACATCTACGTACTCTCTTTTCTCTATTCTCTCTTCTACATAAATAAAAAACCCTATTTATTTTTATTTCATTAATCACACTAATTCCCTTAATTCCACATAATTCTACCTACTTACTTATTTTTATTTAAAACTCTATTTCACTTTCCACTCACAAATTCTCTCCATTTCTACCAATTAATTTATTAAACTAATTAAATAAATTATACCAATTCTCCTTAATTACTATTTAAATTCTAATTTAATATTAAAATCAATATTTTCTACTTCTATATAATTCAATTATTAAAAAATTTAAATAAATTCTATCCAACGACTCATTAACTCATATAATATTAATTAATCACACAAAAATATTCTTAAATAAAATATATAGAAAAAATATCATTAACAAAATGTTATAATAAAAATTGGGGTGTTACATTCACTGCATTTATACTATATTTGACTAATTCTTCTAAGATATGACAAAATTTGAAAG